GAATACCTTGTGTCTATTGAAAAAAAAAAATACAAGGTATTCTGTGAATAGTGGCAGTGCCTGGAAGATTGTGGATTTCACTGTGTTGACAACTACTACTGTCAGCTTCCCCAGCGACCTCCCAGGTATGTGATATGGATACTTACATTGGTCCATGCTGGATAGACGTATGCAATAAAGATCATTCCTGGAGTTTAACGTAAAGTGATACTAAACCCTGGACCCTGCATTCACTATACCTGATCTCCCGGACCCTGCATTCACTATATCTGCTCTCCCCAGACCCCGCATTCACTCTATCCGCTCTCCCCGGACCCTGCATTCAGTATACCTGATCTTCCGGACTCTGCATTCACTATATCCGCTCTTCCCGGACCCCGCATTCACTATATCCGCTCTCCCCGGACCCCGCATTCACTATATCCGCTCTCCCCGGACCCCGCATTCACTATATCCGCTCTCCCCGGACCCCGCATTCACTACATTCTCTCTCCCCGGATCCCGCATTCACTACATCCGCTCTCCCCGGACCCCGCATTCACTACGTCCGCCCTCCCCGGACCCCGCATTCACTCTGTCCGCTCTCCCCGGACCCCGCATTCACTATGTCCGCTCTCCCCGGACCCCGCATTCACTCTGTCCGCTCTCCCCGGACCCCGCATTCACTCTGTCCGCTCTCCCCGGACCCTGCATTCACTATATCCGCTCTCCCCAGATCCTGCATTCACTATATCTGCTCTCCCCGGACCCTGCATTCACTATATCCGCTCTCCCGGACCCTGCATTCACTCTATCCGCTCTCCCCGGACCCTGCATTCACTATATCTGCTCTCCCCAGATCCTGCATTCACTATATCTGCTCTCCCCGGACCCTGCATTCACTATATCCGCTCTCCCCGGACCCTGCATTTACTCTATCCGCTCTCCCCGGACCCTGCATTTACTATATTTGGTCTCCCCGGACCCTGCATTCACTATATCCGGTTCCACAGTGAGTATAACAAGCATGATTTACTGTATACACAGACTGATTTTATTGTTGTGGGTTTAGTAACACTTTAAATGCAACTAATGAATACAGCTGTGCTTCTTCCTTCTCATTATAGAGTTGCCTCACTAATTATACCACCAGAAGCAGTTGCCTGTAAGGCCCATGTCACACTAGCAAACCTGTGTCTAGTGGGACTTCGCCAGTTACGAGAAATGGGGGGAGACTTACCTGATTTGTATGAGTTTCTCCCTCTGTCACATATAAAGCTGAGAAGAGTCACCGTTGAGAGCACTGCGGTGAGGGAATGGTGCACACGAGCAGGTAAGTCCCTACTCCCCACTGTGTCCTCCAAAGCCATCCTGCCTATGACGAGTTCTCGATGTGACCGGATCACCAGCGTGAAATGGCCTTAAAGGATAAGTTCACCTTTTAAACAAACATAATAAATGCACATTTTTTTTGCAGGTAAAAAAATGTGCATTTATTATTTTTGTCTGCCGGAGCCTGGGAAGCATTGCACCACTGATCACTAGATCACTGATGCCATGCAGGTCTCCTGCAGACCTGTCAGAATATCTGCTTGCTCCTGCATCCTGTACAGCAGACAGATATTCTGACAGGTCTGCAGGAGACCTGCATGGCATCAGCGATCTACTGATTTACTGAAGCTTCAATGACGCTCCACAGCACAATGGTAGTTCATTGAAAACTACAAACTGGCAGCCGCTAAAGTTGTCGGGACTTGCAGTTCATTCAGTCACGGAAGTCCGTGAATGAATGATACAGCCGCGTGGGCGGCACCACGCGCGCGGCCGCGTTGTTTTTCAAATTTGACAGTATGGGGGGACTTCTCCCCGTAATATCTGGCAGGGAGCGGTGGCTGTGGCTATGGGAACATGTTACATGTTCCACCCTAAAAATGGGTGGAATATGTAACCTGTTCCTAAAGATGAACTTATCCTTTCAGATAACTTGTTCTGAGAAATATGGAGGCTTCCATTGTCAGAAAATGACCCACAGACCTGTCTGCCATGATATAGTGAAAATCTGAGACTGGAGTGCTGCTCCATAATGTAGCCTCCCTAGCGGTCTGATTATGTCCATATTTCTGTGCTCAAAGCGGTACATTTTTTGCATGGAAATATGTATTTTTTTTTATTGTAGGCCTGTAATTTTAGGAATAACTCACTGAAATCTGACTGAACAAGAGTCTAGTAAACATCCCGGGTATGATAAAATTTGAAACTTGAAATCATAAATTATAATTTGATAAATAATCATAAAAAATAATAAATTTAATTCAATAATATAATCAAACCAAAAACACTGAAATTTGAAATAGAGCGCCAAGTTCACACATCACTGAGTTCAGTCGCAGAATCGTTTTCAGTGTCTGATGACGAATTTCCCCCACTAATTATTATCACTCAATTCTGCAAGTGGTTCTGATTTACTATCGCTGTTCTCTAGCCGGTCTAAAACCGCTTTTGACCTAAAGGGACGCTTTTTGGACGCCATGGACGTTTCTCAGTTTCCAGGCAGAAAGAACATTCAAAATGCAGGCAGGGCGCCGGACAAAGCACTCGGGACAAAATGTATGTGAAATGGTTTGATACAGGAATGTTTTACTATGTGATTTTAGTGAATGTCACTTTTACAACTTTCAAATTTCCCACTGTCATGACGTCACAGGGAACGGAACCTGGAAGACCAATGCCAGCATCCACTGGAGGACATTACACGGGACACTGCAGGAGGGACATCGCGGGAGCGCAGGACAAGGTGAGTGAAGAAGAGTTCCCAGAGCAGCGTTGCAGTGTATTCCCGAGTGTAGCTCAGGGTTAACGCTTGTGGTGCTGAAACTTTACCCCGAGCTACACTCGGGAATACCGCCAGGGAGGTTAAACATTCAGATAAAGATTCTTTCCCAGGGTGAGATAAAACAACTTCATCGAAAAGCTAATGCATTTTGGGGGTAAAAGATCCGCTCAAACCAGCTGATGACATGTTCTGCGCTTCAACAATTTGGTTAAAAAAATTGAGATTTTGTACTCCGTCCAGTAGACATTATCCCTCATTCTAAGCCCTGATTCTCGAAATGCATTGATCTTGTGATAAAGTCTTTCACCTCACCTTGGAATAAATCTATATCTGAGCAATAAAATTGTGGTGTGTTGCTTCAATATCTGGTTTCCTCAGAGGCCAACCATTGAAATCCACTGTCTGGTCAAAGCTGCCCGCCCCAAGAATTCAGACAGACTGGGAACTGTGGACAATCCAAGTGAAGAAATGTCACCAGCACACCCAAGAAGTCCTCAAAATAGGTCCAATGCTTTATTTCGTGGTCACATGGTAAACAAAAGGCAACATTTTGGAGCCATGCAGGGCCCCTTTGGCAGAAGAGTGACAATGGCCATACGCATATATGCGGCTGTGGAGTGGGTGGGCCTTAACAGCCAGCTGCAGGATATATGCATGCTGTCTTGTTATGGGGTGCGCTCCATCAACACGCTGAAAACTGGGACTGAGCTGACAGCTCATGTTCAGGTACTAACTTTCAGGAGCTGGTAGGACAGGCTCCCAATGACATCAGCACTGTGTAGCCAATCACAGTGTCGCATGATCGGGAGCACTTCCTACCAGCCTTGGGCATGATGGCCCAAGGTACTAACTTTTGGGAGTTAGTGCTGATGTCAATGGAAACTTGTCCTACTAATTCCCGAAAGTTAGTACCTTGGGCCGTCATGCCCAAGGCTGGCATAAAGGGTTTCCAATCATGCGGCACTGCGATTGGCTACACAGTGCTGATGTCAATGGAAACTTGTCCTACTGTGTAGCTAATCACAGTGCCGCATGATTGGAAACCCTTCCTACCAGCCTTGGGCATGACGGCCTAAAGTACTAACTTTCGGGAGTCAGTAGGACAAATTTCCATTGACATCAGCACTGTGTAGCCAATTACAGTGCCGCATGATTGGAAACCCTTTCTACCAGCCTTGGGCATGATGGCCCAAAGGTACTAACTTTCGGAAGTTAGTAGGACAGGTTTCCATTGAGATCAGCACAGTGTAGCCAATCACAGTGCCGCATGATCGGGAGTACCTCCTACCAGCCTTGGGCATCACGGCCCACGGTTCTAACTTTCGGGAGTTAGTAAGACAGGTCTCCATTGACAGTACTGTGTAGCCAATCACAGTGCAGTATGATTGGAAACCCTTTCTACCAGCTTTGGGCATGATGGCTCAAGGTACTAACGTTTGAGAGTTAGTAGGACAAGTTTCCATTGACATCAGCACTGTGTAGCCAATCACAGTGTCGCATGATTGGAAACTTTCTACCAGCCTTCGGCATCATGGCCCATTTAAAGCACTGGCTCCTGCCACCGTAAATGGGTTAAAGACCCAGCACGTACAAAAAAAAAAAATATCTGCTGAAATGCTCTCAGCTCCCTAATACCTGTTGTGGGCTGACAACACACAGCTGTTTTGTAGACGGATTGGTGTCAGCCCTGCCCAGTGTTGTTTGCTAAACTACTCAACTGCTCCCACCTCAGATCTCTACAGCATAAAGTCTTAGGGTGGACTTCACTGGCAGGATCAGCGGGTATTTCTGGTTCTTTACAGGACTTAGAGAAAACTGTACATGCCGATGCACTGCTGCAGCACATATTTTTTTTCAATGGAGACTTTGTGAGAAAATGTGGGGTTTAGCTACCATTTGTGGGCCTGGCTTAATATCACAAATCTAAAACATCCCAAACCTTTGTAAGGGAGAACAACAGTGCTTTCAGTTGCTACCCACCTCCTCCATGTCTTGTTGGCTGATTTGTCTGAAATAAAGAAGAACGGATATCCCGCAAGTACAGCACAGATCATTTTATTCTTGCAATGAAAAGAAGACCAAATACAAGGTACGGAAAGCCAACATAGTGAAGCCAGCACAGGCATTACAGCCCAAATGTGCTCTTACACATAGCTAGGTCCAGAAAGGATGTCCAGCATTTCCACTCTCACACAATCGGATAGACGCCGGAGTTGGCGATTCCACAATGGTTGTCACGATTTCTGGCCATTTTGCCGTACCCTCTCTCACCCCAGTTTTTGCCCCAACTGCAAAGAACGTATACAAATTATATTACAGATGCAGAAATTTGGCACATTCTTTGACTATTCTGTATGGAATTCTAGTAGAATGCTGCTTTTATAGTAAGTGCTATCATTAAATATTATCTCTGGATGTCCTGAATCACCACTGTTTATCCTAATCCTCCCCTTCAGTAGACATCATGTGACCAACTGCCTAGGTACATGGCCACGTGACTGGCTGATCTCCAAGCTTAGTTGTTTTTGAGGCCATAGTTAGTTTTTTAGGACTGCTGTCATCTTTGCTGTATTTCAGAGAGTAGGGAGGGCAGGAAACGCTTGCCCTCCATAGGATTCCCCCCCCCCCCCAAACCAGGCCGTTTTTTGCGATACAGCGCTGCGTTACTTTAACTGATTGCGCAGTTATGCGACGCTGCACCCAAATGAAATTTACCTCCTTTTTTTTTTCCCCACAAATAGAGCTTTCTTTTGGTGGTATTTGATCGCCTGTGCTTTTTAATTTTTTGCGTTAAAAAAAAGACTGACAATATTGAAAAAAAAATATTTTTTTTTTACTTTCTGCTCTAAAACATGTCCAGCAAAAAAAAAAAAAAAAATCAAAATTTCTTCTTAAATTTAAATTCTGTGACATGTCTTTGCTAAAAAAAAAAAAAAAATCCTGATGCGTGTAAATTAAGCAGTTTATGTGAAAGTTATAGCATTTACAAATGGCAGTATATATATATACTTTATATATATTTTTTTATACTAGTAATGGGGTCGATCAGCGACTTATAGTGGGACTGCGGCGGACATTCTGACACTGGGATGGAACTAACTGCCAATGACACTAATATAGTGATCAGTGCTAATAAAAAGCACTGACACTGTACTAATGGCACTGGGAGGAAGGAGTTAACGTGGGGAAATCAAAGGGTTAATTGTGTGTTTTACTAGGGAAACATGCTGCTGTGTATTGCTCTGCTATGCAGAGCAATACACAGCAGCATGTTCTTGCTGGCAGGAGTGAGACCTGTGTTGTTTACACACAGGTCTCACCCCTGTCAGTGTTACTCTGTCATCATCAGGTGCCGGCGGACATTCTGACACTGGGGTGGAACTGCCAATGACACTAATATAGTGATCAGTGCTAATAAAAAGCACTGACACTGTACTAATGGCACTGGGAAGGAAGGAGTTAACATGTGGGGCAATCAAAGGGTTAATTGTGTGTTTTACTAGGGAAACATGCTGCTGTGTATTGCTCTGCTATGCAGAGCAATACACAGCAGCATGTTCTTGCTGGCAGGAAAGAGACCTGTGTTGTTTACACACAGGTCTCACCCCTGTCAGTGTTACTTGGTCATCATCAGGTGCTGGCGGAGAATCTCCGTCTGGGAGCTGGTGATTGACATCCGTAGCCGCCAATGGCGGTGCGGGTAGGGCGGCCCCTATCTGGAAATGTAAATCACATATATATATATATATACACACGTGACTTTTGTGTAGCCCTGCAGCAGTATTTCTGCTATAGGGTGGAGGGCAACTGGTTAAAAGTAGGAGCTGGTGACTGTACTAATACAGTCTAGTAACATTTCTGTATACCTTTCTTACAATAGATAAAGGATCATATGGAACCTAGCTCCTTCATAAAATATGTGTTCAATACCCAATCCTCCATGGTATTCTCCTGTTTTATAGCGCAGTTCTGCAGAGCGAGGTAAGTGCTGGATACACCTCGTTAAATAAGATTTTTTTTTTTTTTTTCCTGGGTCAGACCTGCTGCCATACTAAGAGTCAGGAGAGGCTAGCACAAAAACCTTACATTGGCATGATAATTGTTTAATATTTATGAAGTTCTCATTTCAATTTTTTTCCCTTTATTTGCAAAATGTATACCTGTTTTTAAACAGCCAGTAGGCCGTTCCATTTTCTGTACCGTATCCAGCTACCAGAACTGCATGTCTAAAGTCCTCTGTACGGCAGTTAGGGTCATAGTACACACCTAGAACACAAAAAGCAAATATGTAAAAAAAAAAAAAAAAACAAAACAAAAAAAAAAGGGGGTCAGCTTACAATTCTGTACATTATAAAGACTGGAAATGAAAATATATTGACACTATACAGCCTAAAGTATGACAAAAAGTTGACAACCCCTCCACGTTGTTGAGTTTCAATGTTTCCAGTGAATGGTTCTATTAATGCCACATCATACAAAGATATTTTAGGCAACAGACTGCATCCAACTATAGGAACCCCGCCCTATGCTACTGTGACCCTAAATAAATTTAGTGTTCTTGATGGGCTGTAACCAATCTGAGCTGTTATTTACCCCTTCTGGGCTCTGCAGGTTTTCCCTAAGTTGGACCATAGACCATGCATATTTCTTTCCTGCAACCACGGTTCAATTCCCAACAATTGATCAACTTTGGTACATTCAGACTGCCGATACATGGTTCAAATCTTGTCCGGTTCCTGCTGAACCAGCAGAGATTCGAACAGTCTATGGCTGGCTTAAGCCTGGTGGGGTTGATTGGTTCCACTTGTTGCTGGAGAAGATTCCAAGAAGCAATGCTGGAGGGTCAACTCCCTGAGTTATGGATATCTGACCCAGCCATTCTCTTAGGAGCTGTATTCAGAGGTTTGGCTTGGGGAGATGGAATCTTCTCCAGCAACAAGCAGAACCATTTCCCCAAGCCAAATCTCTGAATACAGCTCCTAAGAGAATGGCTGGGTCAGATATCCATAACTCAGGGAGTTGACCCTCAAGCATTGCTTCTTGGAATCTTCTCCAGCAACAAGCAGAACCAAGAAGCAATGCTTGAGGGTCAACTCCCTGAGTTATGGATATCTGACCCAGACATTTTCTTAGGAGCTGTATTCAGAGGTTTGGGGAGATGGTTCCGCTTGTTGCTGGAGAAGATTCCAAGAAGCAATGCTGGAGGGTCAACTCTCTGAGTTATGGATATCTGACCCAGCCATTCTCTTAGGAGCTGTATTCAGAGGTTTGGCTTGGGGAGATGGTTCCGCTTGTTGCTGAAGAAGGTTCCATGAAGCAATGTTGCAGTGTCAACTCCCTGAGTTATGGATATCTGACCCAGCCATTCCCTGAGAAGCTGTATTCAGAGGTTTGGCTTGGGGAGATGATAAATGTTTAGGAGCACCCTTTCAGGACTTTTATGCCCCTGGGGCACCTTTTCAGAGCAGTTTTATTTATTTATTTGAACCTTTCTGGGCTGTGCAGGTCTTCTCTAAGCCTGGTAGAGTTGGTTTGGTTCTGTCTGTTGCTGGAGGAGCTTTCCGTAAGCAGTGGCAACTCTCTAGATTATGAATATCTCAGCCGTATTTAGAGGTGTGATTCGGGGAGATAAGTGTTTGGGAGCACCTTTCCAGAACTTATTTGCCCCTGGGTCTGTTCCTTGGGAAAGTGCCTATGTGAAGGAATTCTGCTTCAGCCTTTCCTCATTCCAAGACATGGGCTGAAGGCCCACGAACTCGAACAGAAGCTAGGATGATGTTCAGAAGGAAGCTGAACTGGAATAATTATCTTCTTGCTGAAGAATGTCACAGAGGAGCTGGTACCAGCTCCAGCCTGGACATTGTAAGAGTACATTGACCACAGATCAATGGTATTTTGAATGCTTCCAAAAGGGTGATGATCAGGTGTCCATGTACAACTACATGCAGGGTAGAGACAAGGCACATCATGCACCCTACTCAGGAAGAGAGTACCAATTTCAGTGACCCTTTCCTTTCTTGTCGGCCTCTTTTATGAACAGACAGCTGGTTTTAATCCAAGCCATCTACAAACAACTGACAGCAAACTTATGCAGCCCATACATCAGGGGTGTCCAAACTATGGCCCTCCAGCTGTTGAAGTACTACAAGTCCCATCCTGGCTCTGGGTGTCTTGCCTGTGGATGTCAGAGTCTTGCCAGGCACAATGGCACTTGCAGTTCCTCACCAGCTGGAGGAACATATTTTGGACACCCCTGCCATACACGGTTCAAATATTGAATGATTTTTCATTCTAAAATTGAAAATGTTGTTCGCTCTGTAATCCAATGGTGCAATCAATGATTTTGAAAATTGGTCATTTTTCACAAACTTTCTAACATGCCCGATAAACAAAAAGGGGAGGAACCACGAAAATCGGCCGGTGCCATTGCCCCACTAACAGCGAAAATCAGGCGATTATTCTTAGAGCCGATTTTCAAACGAAAAATCGCTTGAAAATCAACCCATGTATGGCCGGCTTAATTTAACAGCTTATTAACCACTTGCCCTCCAGAGGATTTCCCCCCCTTCCTGACCAGGCCATTTTTTGCATTACTGCGCTGCGTTACTTTAACTGACAATTGCGCGGTCATGCAATGCTGTACGTAAATGAAATTTACATCCTTTGTTCCCACAAATTATTATTATTATACAGTATTTATAAAGCGCCAATGGTTCGCTCAGCGCTGTACATTACAATGGGAGACAATACATGAGACAGTACAATAACAATACAATACGAGGGGTTCGAGGGCCCTGCTCCTTGGAGCTTACAATTGGAGCTTTCTTTCTGTGGTATTCGATTACCTGGGTGTTTTTTATTTTTTGTGCTATAAACAAAAAAAGACCGTAAATTTTGAAAAAAAAAAAATATTTTTGTCTTTTTGCTGTAAAACATATCCAGTAAAAAACAAATTTAGGACAAAATGTATTCTGCGACATGTCTTTGCTAAAAAAAAAAAAATAAAAAAATCCCAATATATGTAAATTAATTGGTTTACATGAAACTTATGGCGTTTACAAATGGTGCTATAGATACTGGGATTTTTATTCATTTTTTTAATACTAGTAATGGCGGCGGCGGTGATCATTGACTCATAGCGGGACGGCATTCTGACACGGGGGGGGGGGGACTGACTAATTGCCACTGACGTCCCCAGTAAAACTAATACAGTTATCAATGCTAATAAACAGTGATCAGTGCTAATAAAAAGCCTTGACACTGGGCAGGAAGGGGTTACCATCTGGGGCGATCAAAGGGTTAACTGTGTGCTGTATTGTGTAAGCATGCTGCTTTGTATTGCTCTGTTATGTGGAGCCAAGCAAATCAGTGTGCAGGAGCTGACGGGGGAGAGTTCTGTATTGTTTACATACAGACCTCTCCCCTGTCAGTGTTCTTTGGTGATCGCCAGGTGCCGGCGGGGAATCTCCGGCCAGGACCTGCTGATCGACAGCCATAGCCGCCAATGGCGGCGAGGGTAGGGTGGCACGCGCGCCTCCTACCCGGAAATGAAAATCAAGTATATATACGTGACTTTGCGCAGCCCTGCAGCAGTATTTCTGCTATAGGGCGGCGGGGAAGCAGTTAAAGTAGGCACTTTTGTCAGTATAAACGCTTGCATGAAGCCAAAATGGGGCTTTGTGTTGTATAACTGGAATGCAGTTAGGCTGCATGAGTCGTAATTAATGTGTGTTTTTTATTTTTATACAGTAGTGTCGTGCTGCAGCAAAGGGACACAATGCTCTGTGCTGGCATGACGTTGAAGATCCAGCAGCGGCTCAACACAGATCAATGGTCCAACACCCCCCACACTGTGCTCCAATCAAGAGTGCTCACACTCCCCGAGCAGCTCTGTTGATTGGAGCACTGTGCAGGGGGTGTGTCAGAGTGCTGGAGTCCCAGATTACTGTGTTCGCTGTTGATCAGCAATCCAGATCTCCAACTGGCAAAGGCTGCAGCACGATGGTACAGTAAAAAAAAAAAATAAAAAAGCCGCACACATCACGGATTATGCAGCTTTACTGCACTGTAGTAACAAACGCAAAGATGCAATTGGGCTTTACTGACTGACATTAAGAAAATGATTGCTGTAAAATGCTGTGATATCCATGTGTCATCCCGAGGCCAACCACCAATCTGTAGCATCTACAGTCAGCTCCATAAATATTGGGACATTGACACAATTCTAACATTTTTGGCTCTATACACCACCACAATGGATTTGAAATGAAACGAACAAGATGTGCTTTAACTGCAGACTGTCAGTGTTGACATGAGGGTATTTACATCCAAATCAGGTGAACGGTGTAGGAATTACAACAGTTTGCATATGTACCTCCCACTTGTTAAGGGACCAAAAGTAATGGGACAATTGGCTTCTCAGCTGTTCCATGGCCAGGTGTGTGTTATTCCCTCATTATCCCAATTACAATGAGCAGATAAAAGGTCCAGAGTTCATTTCAAGTGTGCTATTTGCATTTGGAATCTGTTGCTGTCAACTCTCAAGATGAGATCCAAAGAGCTGTCACTATCAGTGAAGCCATCATTAGGCTGAAAAAACAAAACAAACCCATCAGAGAGATAGCAAAAACATTAGGCGTGGCCAAAACAACTGTTTGGAACATTCTTAAAAAGAAGGAATGCACCGGTGAGCTCAGCAACACCAAAAGACCCGGAAGACCACGGAAAACAACTGTGCTGGATGACCGAAGAATTCTTTCCCTGGTGAAGAAAACCCTTCACAACAGTTGGCCAGATCAAGAACACTCTCCAGGAGGTAGGTGTATGTGTGTCAAAGTCAACAATCAAGAGAAGACTTCACCAGAGTGAATACAGAGGGTTCGCCACAAGATGGAAACCATTGGTGAGCCTCAAAAACAGGAAGGCCAGATTAGAGTTTGCCAAACGACATGTAAAAAAGCCTTCACAGTTCTGGAACAACATCCTATGGACAGATGAGACCGAGATCAACTTGTACCAGAGTGATGGGAAGAGAAGAGTATGGAGAAGGAAAGGAACTGCTCATGATCCTAAGCATACCACCTCATCAGTGAAGCATGGTGGTGGTAGTGTCATGGCGTGGGCATGTATGGCTGCCAATGGAACTGCTTCTCTTGTATTTATTGATGATGTGACTGCTGACAAAAGCAGCAGGATGAATTCTGAAGTGTTTCGGGAATATTATCTGCTCATATTCAGCCAAATGTTTCAGAACTCATTGGACGCTTCACAGTGCAGAAGGACAATGACCCAAAGCAGACTGCAAAAGCAACCAAAGAGTTTTTTAAGGGAAAGAAGTGGAATGTTCTGCAATGGCCAAGTCAATCACCTGACCTGAATCCGATTGAGCATGCATTTCACTTGCTGAAGACAAAACTGAAGGGAAAATGCCCCAAGAACAAGCAGGAACTGAAGACAGTTGCAGTAGAGGCCTGGCAGAGCATCACCAGGGATGAAACCCAGCGTCTGGTGATGTCTATGCGTTCCACACTTCAGGCTGTAATTGACTGCAAAGGATTTGCAACCAAGTATTAAAAAGTGAAAGTTTGATTTATGATTATTATTCTGTCCCATTACTTTTGGTCCCTTAACAAGTGGGAGGCACCTGTGCAAACTGTTGTAATTCCTACACCGTTCACCTGATTTGGATGTCAATACCCTCAAATTAAAGCTGACAGTCTGCAGTTAAAGCACATCTTGTTTGTTTCATTTCAAATCCATTGTGGTGGTGTATAGAGCCAAAAATGTTAGAATTGTGTCGATGTCCCAGTATTTATGGACCTGACTGTATTTGCAGCTGTACGTACCGATTTTTTTTTTTTTTGTGTGTATTAACTAGTGGACGGCATTACTGCAACACATTTAAATGTGCGCCATCATGTCCCAGCCTATCATATTTCAAAGTGTTAATAAATAAGGACTCTTTCACACTGGGGGCTAGGAAAATAGGGGGGGGTGGGGCATAAAAACAGTCGGCTGAGCCATGGCTTTTACACCCCCCCTAGAATTCTAACATTGCAACCTGACAGGTTGTACACACGCTGCACTCGTGAAGCAAAAGCAATTTAAATCGGACTGCAGAGTATAACGGGCAGCATCACATGTCAAACTTATCCGTTGAGATCAATAGGGCAACGTCACAAACACGAGCCAAATGCTTGGCCTGCAGTTCTACCGTGGTGTCACAATGTAAAATTGCCATTCAACATTTAAAAAAAACAAAAAACAGGCATCAGTAGCGCCACTTTTAGCCCAGGTTCACACCTAAGTGTTTTTCTGACGCATTTTGCAGAAACGCAGTACAGTCCATTTAACATGATTTCCTATGGGACAGGTTCACATCTCCGCGTTTTCACCCGGTTTTTGGAAAGGGCCAGGGACTTTTCTGAACACAAAACTTTGCGTTTTTTTTGTTATATAGACCTCATTAACCGCATGCCGCCCAGCCAATATACATATATGGCGGCAGGGCGGCACTCACAGGCAAAACCACGTTTTAAAACGTGTGTTTTGTAAACAAATAGGGGGGGCGCGCGCGAGGCGCGCCACCGCCCTATTTGTCCCGCGGATCACCGCCGCAGATGTCAGTCGCCGGGTCACAGCCGCTCCTTAGCGGCGGCAAACAGTGACAGAGAGCACAGCTGCAGTAGCTGTGCTGTCTGTCACTTCCCTGTCAGCTCGAGGATGAGCTGATCGAGAAAGAAGAGTTTCTCTTTCTCGATCAGCCTTGTCCCGCCCCAGTACACACCCCGCCCCCTAGTAAAACACTCCCCTCACTCCTATAACCCTTCCCTGCAAAATAAAGTTAACCCCTTCCTCCCCATTGCCATTAGTACAGTGTCAGTTTTTTTTTTTTTTTTTTGCACTGATCACTGTATTAGTGTTTTTGGGGATGTCAGTGACCCCAAGTCAGTACCCCCCAATGTCAGAATGTCAAAAAAGTCAAAAACCAGTGCGAAAATGCTACACACAATTCAGAAACGCCTCAAACACAACTTGCATAGGTGTGCACCTAGACTTAATGCCTGCCAGCTGCTGCCATGCTTGCCTTCTGAAAAGTGATCCGCTGTGGATTGCTTTTCAGAAGGTGGTAAGCATTACTGCTTGCTGAAAGAGCCCTAAGACTGTAGATCTGACTTGTGCACAGGGTACAAATACTTCATACACACCTTTTGCGTACATTTGGAAGGAACGTTGAATACATTTTATTGACACAGACACGGGTCCCACGGTTGCCACAGCCTTTTGAAGGGACAGTTCATTCCCACGTGGCAATCTCTTGTAACTGCGGCATGTAGCAGCCTTAGGAGCAGAGATGCAGGTGCCTTGCTGGTGAATGGATAAAAGCAATATTATTACGTTCAGGATTCATGGTGTGAAGTTTCTGACAACATGTTGCCTTTGACAACCAAATAAAGTTGAACTCCAGGCACATATAAAAGACACAAATTATTCAACTCTAAGCTCAATAATATATCATTAAATGTGAGCAGTATAAATCCCTGCTATGTATATACTGTAGCTCCTGTACAGCAGTGCAGATGGGGGGTCAGAGAAGCAGCACAAGTAGCCAATCAGGTGTGTTGTAGTACAAGAAACACATTGACAGGAGGAGAGAGCAAAGTGACTGAGATGAGCTGCTTCTTCCTTTCCTGCTCAGTCACTGGCTGGGGGTGGGACAAGACCTGCAAGTGTTATTGAACAAATCTCAGTACAATACAGTTAAAATTTACAAATCTACAATCTACAAATGAAGTAGAACCAGACTAAGGTTTGTGGACAGGACACGGGTCTGTGAAACTAGTTAGAGCAGGGGGTTCAAACTGAAAGTTTTGGGAGGGTAGGAGGACACTGTGATCAGTGGGAGTACAAAATTCCCCAGCATCCAAGGGAGTAGACACCGTATCCATCTAGGAGTTCTACGGCAGTAAGTAAAATACATAATAACGCCTCCGGTCAGTATGAGGAGGAATAGTGCCCCATTGTTTGTCTCAGTTGAAGGATTGGTGCCCCGTCGTTGGGGGTCAGTGGGAGGAACGGCGCCCCGTCGTTGGGGGTCAGTGGGAGGAACGGCGCCCCGTCGTTGGGGGTCAGTGGGAGGAACGGCGCCCCGTCGTTGGGGGTCAGTGGGAGGAGCCGCGCCTCGTCGGGGGTCAGTGGGAGGAGCTGCGCCCTGTCGTTGGGGTCAGTGGGAGGAGCCGCGCCCCGTCGTTGGGGTCAGTGGGAGGAGCCGCGCCCCGTCGTTGGGGTCAGTGGGAGGAGCCACGCCCCCTCGTTGGGGTCAGTGGGAGGAGCGGCATCCCGTCCTTGGGGTCAGTGGGTGGAACGGCGCCCCGTCCTTGGGGTCAGTGGGTGGACCGGCGCCCCGTCCTTGGGGTCAGTGGGTGGAACGGCGCCCCGTCGGAGTCAGTGGGAATTGCACTCCATTGTTGGGGTCAGTGGGAGGAACGGCGCCCCAACGTTGGGGTCAGTGGGTGAAATGGCGCCCCCATGTTGGGGTCAGTGGGTGGAATGGCGCCCCAACATTGGGGTCAGTGGGTGGAATGGCGCCCCATCGTTGGGGTCAGTAGGAATTGCGCCCCATCGTTGGGGTCAGTGGGAGGAATAATGTGCCTTATGGGTGTCACTGAGAAGAATAGTGCCCCAAGGGCTGGGTAAAGGCAAGAAAAGGGTTGAAACTGGCCCGTAGGCCACAGTTTGGAGACCTCGGAGTTAGAGCATCATATAACAAGAGGAGTCTTCAGATAAGGAGTAGATCATATAGATGTATAATGTCACATAGGTCACATACATCCAATGTCCTGAGGCCCTAAAGGCGTCTTTGTGGTCACTGTGTTGCTTTGAGTAAGGCTCGGGTCACACTGCTGTGACTTCTAGTGCGACTGCATTACAACGTCAATGTGGCTTTCATGAATCATACCACTACTGAGTGTAAGGCACATTACTGAACTCACAAAACCCTCTGAAATCGCAGCCACAGTTGCAAAGATAAGACAAAGAAATGACTTCCTGGTGACTTTTGTGGTTTTAACATTGACGTCTGTGGCCGACGATCACTGCAAGGCATGAAGAAAGACCCGCTGAAGATTAAAGTCTGCGGCGTCTCCTCATGTGCCCCCGCCCAGCTGGCCGGGGCTCCTGACAGGTTCCGTCAGTGACAGGAGGGCAGGCTGCAATGCATTTCCGAGGCTCCGCCTCCTTTATCAAACTGCGGGAGCGCAAGGAGAGACACCGCAGACTTTTCATCTTCACCGGGTCTCTCTTCATGCCTTGCAGCGATCGTCGGCTCCACCACTCTGGAGAGAGCGGTCTCTGCATGCTGCACTGACCCGGGACGATGACCGTGGGGGGTTTTACATGGAAGTGCTCTTTGAATAAAAGTTCTTTGATTTTTTACTCACACTGACCTGGCGCCTGCTGTGGTCCTTCAACATGGGAATGTGTGTCGCAATGGGCTGGGGTAACGCACGTACGTGTAAGATGGGATTTGTGAATGTGTGCGTAGCAATGGGTTGGGATAACGCACGTACCTGTAAGATGGGATTTGTGAATGTGTGTTGCAATGGGCTGGGGTAACGCATGTACGTCTAAGATGGGATTTGTGAATATGTGCGTCGCAATGGGCTGGGGTAACGCACGTACATGCAAGATGGGATTTGTGAATGTGTGCGTCGCAATGGGCTGGGGTAACGCACGTACACGCAAGATGGGATTTGTGAATGTGTCGCAATGGGCTGGGGTAACGCGCACGTACACGCAAGATGGGATTTGTGAATGTGTCGCAATGGGCTGGGGTAACGCACGTACACGCAAGATGGGATTTGTGAATGTGTCGCAATGGGCTGGGGTAACGCATGTACGTCTAAGATGGGATTTGTGAATATGTGCGTCGCAATGGGCTGGGGTAACGCACGTACATGCAAGATGGGATTTGTGAATGTGTGCGTCGCAATGGGCTGGGGTAACGCACGTACATGCAAGATGGGATTTGTGAATGTGTGCGTCGCAATGGGCTGGGGTAACGCACGTACATGCAAGATGGGATTTGTGAATGTGTGCGTCGCAATGGGCTGGGGTAACGCACGTACACACAAGATGGGATTTGTGAATGTGTCGCAATGGGCTGGGGAAACGCACGTACACGCAAGATGGGATTCGTGAATGTGTCGCAATGGGCTGGGGTAACGCACGTACACGCAAGATGGGATTTGTGAATGTGTCGCAATGGGCTGGGGTAACGCACGTACACGCAAGATGGGATTTGTGAATGTGTCGCAATGGGCTGGGGTAACGCACGTACACGCAAGATGGGATTTGTGAATGTGTCGCAATGGGCTGGGGTAACGCACGTACACGCAAGATGGGATTTGTGAATGTGTCGCAATGGGCTGGGGTAACGCGCGTACATGCAAGATGGGATTTGTGAATGTGTGCGTCGCAATGGGCTGGGGTAACGCGCGTACACGCAAGATGGGATTTGTGAATATGTTGTATTAGGCAGTCCATTCATTGTCAATGTGCTACCAAAGCGTCACAACCCACATATAACTGGACATTTTTTTTAAACACTGTGGTTCACATCTGTGCTTTCTGGGGTGTGCTGCCTAAGCGCATCGGGGTACCAAAATAAAAGGAATAGCACCACAATGTGCATTTTAGCATCAGTTATTTAGAAACATTCTCCACAGGATCCTGACAGTATCTCTCATTACCTTTCCTCGGTATGGATATGAGGATTCCAGTGCCCAGTCCATGATCCTTGATGTAGTTAAAAGCCTTCTCCTTATTTCCACCCTTGCATCCATTGTTTCCGTATTTCCCACTGCAATCCACAAGCTGCTGTTCGCTCAGTGACTGCAACTTTCCTGTCTTCAGCTTCATCTGGCATTCCAGAGAGCCTGTCGTACTGAAAGCCCAGCAAGAGCCGCACGATCCCTGCAAATATGTACTCTTTATTTAAGACATCATGCATGTACACAGTCATCCAATAATCAATGTAAAAGAAATACATTAAAGTATGCCAACATTAATGGTAATACTTGTTTAGAGACATCAATCTGGTGTAATATTGGTATCTTTTTTCTCGCTTCTTTTGGTAGTTTCAATATATGAATATTATTATTATAATACAGTATTTATATAATGAAACCACCCAAAATAATGAAACAGAAAACTAATATATAACAATCTTTAAAAAAAAAAAAGCTAAATTTTTTTGAATCCACCCAGACCTAGGGGTGTATTTACCACAAGGCCTTTGCCTAGGGTGGCATTTTTCAGGGAGGCAGCCCTCCCTCTTGGAAGAACGGACACATGCAGCATGGGGACCTGGTGGGTTCTGAGAGATGCTGCGGGTTTCATGACGGTGTATGCACAGCCCAACTCTCGTTCCCGGGGATGTCCGGAGCTGTGAAGGGGAGTATCTTTCTCAAGGCGGGAGGGGTGTTGTTGGTCAATGTCAGGCTATCTGTACTGGGGGGGGGGGGGGGGGGGTGCCAATATTTTTGTTGCCTAGGGCAGCACAAAACCTAAATACGCCACTGCCCAGACAAACGAATATACGACACAGATCATGAAAATGAACTGCTTCAACACAACGAATATGACGAAATTAAATTCTTCAATGAGCGATTGCATCTAGTGTTGCACCGAAATGAAAATTATGGTGCCAAAAACAAAAATTTAAAATCCACTTGGCAGAAAACAGAAATGCAGTTTTTAAAAATGAATATTTTTTTGGGAAAAAAATACACTGATAAAAAAAAAAACAATATATACCCCAATTTTTTTGTAAAATATGAAAGAAGATGTTACGGAGAGTAAATAGATACCCAACATGTCACGCTTTAAAACTGCGCATGCTCGTGGAATGGCGTGAAACTGCGGTACTTAAAAATCTCCATGGGTGATGCTTTAAAAATGTCTACAGGGTAGCAGTGTAATGTTACAGAGGAGGTCTAGTGCGAGAATTATTGTTCTTGCTCAGACGTTCGTGGCGATACCTCACATGTGTGGTTTCAACATCATTTACATATGTGGGCATGGCCTACGTATGCGTTCACCACTACGTGCGTTGAGTTACGGGGCGGACTGGGGCACTTTAAACTTTTTTTTTTTATTTATATAAAGTTTTTGGGTTTTTTTGCACTTTTATTCTTATCATAAGAAATGCATGCATCCCTTGTGATAGAAATAATTAGTGACAGGTCCTCTTTATGGAGAGATATGGGGTCAATAAGACCCCACATCTCTCTGCAATGTAAAGCATTGGATCAAAAAAAAGATTTGATCTAGTGCCCTAAAAAACAAACGGCCGGAACTGGAAGTCACATCGCTCCGGTCCTTCATGGGCATAGAGATGAGTGGAGGCCATCTTTCCTTCACTCTTCTCTATGCCCAGCTCCGGTCCTTCATGGGCATAGAGATGAGTGGAGGCCATCTTTCCTTCACTCTTCTCTATGCCCAGCTCCGGTCCTTCATGGGCATAGAGATGAGTGGAGGCCATCTTTCCTTCACTCTTCTCTATGCCCAGCGCCGGGATAGTGTGTTGGTTTCTCAGGTAAGGCTGACAACTACCGAGGGACGGGGCTTTTTCGGCACTTGTATCGGTGCTTTTTTTTTCCATTTCGGCCGACAGCCGAAAGGGGTTTTTTTTTTGCCCGAAACGTTTCAGCCACCGAAATTTCGGTGCATCCCTAATTGCATCCAAACCAAAATTTAAATTTCCAGCATGTCCAGGTCTAAAAGTTACAGATAAAACATATGACATGTAGTCTCAGAGATAATAAGTAACCCTCACAGAGGCGGAAAGCTAGAAAAATCAGTTGTATCCAGCTCAGCAGGTGCATGGGGGATCCTTAATACAACATTTGGAGGAATGCCCGAAATCCCTGCAGTAAGTGCCACATACATTAGGAGGACCTACCGCCCTATGTCTTGCCCTGAGACTACTAATCCCATAATATCTAGGCCAGGGGTGGACTGACCATTTGGAAACTCGGGCACTGCCCGAGGGCCCGGGGTCAGTAGGGGGCCCCATGAGATGCCCCTGGTACCTTTTTCGTAGGCTTTTTTGAGTTTGGGCAAGGATACAGGGGCCTCATGATCACCTATTGCCCGGGGGCCCCATGAGTTGTTAGTCCGTCCCTGATCTAGGCATCACAATGTGGGGAGTGTTCAATACTAAACATTTACAATTGTCTTCTCTCCCTCGTAGCAGCGAAGCGAGGAGGAAAACAAAACGGGGGTGAGGGACATGGTTCCTAACCCTATTAGGGAACAAATAAGTAGTAAGGCTGGACTGAAGGACAATGAAAGAAAAAAATAAAAAGGGGGGGGGAATTGGGAGGGGTGGAGAAATTTCCCTTCCCTCACGAAGAGCAATTGGTATCTAAAGACATCGCTGGTCAGGTCTTAGCCAATGGATGTTAAGGATATGAGGAGCTAACTAGTGTGTCAATGTACTGAGAAGAGCAAGTAGACACCGTCCACGGCACCCATCTGTCTCTGAATTGGTCTTCTCTGTCAGAGTGAGGCCGTCAAACTTTCCATACATCTAATTTAATTGAGTCTGGCAAACCAATGGCTTAAAGTCAGCAGGGAGATTTGCTTCAAGAGATCAGGAATGCAAGCCCGGGCTGTATTGTACTAATGTACTATCGGTGATTTCTTCTAACGATGCAAAGGTACTGATTGCACTTTGTTTCTCGGATCAGAGGACACCAACTAAGGAAACAGCAGTAATGCAAATTATCATAGATTTTTCAGCAAAATTACTAGAAGTATCTATACAAATTTGCAACAAATTAATTCATTGATGTGCAGGCAAACCTCTTCTGAAAGAAGTTGTAATCCTCCACAAATTCTATTAAAGATGCTTTAGCTTGGGTTCCAATTTAGGAAAAACTTATGTTAAAGCAACCTTATCAGGTCTTTTCATAATTCCCAAATCCAGCTCCATGTAAGAGTTAGAGGTATCATACTCACCTCTCAAGTGGGCCAAGTGTCCTACCTTCTCTCTGTTCTGGCCCCGCAGCCTCCACCAGGTTCTTTAGCATTCAACACTTCCCGAACTGTCATACTTGTGTCCACCACTGTTCAAGGTGGTTCTTTCCTCCAACCACCAAGTCTCTATAGGATGATCTAGTGATCTAGAAGTGTCAGAGGAATAAACTGCATAGAGCAGTGGAAGACATACTCAACACTCCCAGAAGTGTTGAATATTATTATTATACAGTATTTATATAGCACCAAAAGTTTGCTCAGCGCTGTACATTATAATGGGAGACAGTACATGAGACAGTACAGTAACAATACAATGCGATACACGAGGGGTTCGAGGGCCCTGCTCCTTGGAGCTTACAATCTAGGAGGGAGGGGAGAGTGGTACAGGAGGGAATAGCTGTGGGGGTTGGAGTGGTGGGAAGAGTGGAGGAGATCGGCAATTAGGTGAGAGCTGGGAAGGCTTCTCTGAAGAGATGGGTTTTCAGGGTGCGCCTAAAGGTGAGGAGGGAAGGTGACAGTCTGACGGATTGGGATAGTGAGTTCCAGAGGATGGGGAAGGCCCTGGAGAAGTCCTGGAGATGGGCATGGGAGGAGGAGACCAGGGAACTGGAGAGTAGGAGGTCTTGTGAGGAGCGGAGAGTGCGTTTCGGGTGGTAGATGGATATCAGGTCGGTGATGTAGTTGTGGGCAGTGTTATGGATAGCTTTGTACGTCTGTGTCAATATTTTGAATTTTATGCGTTGGGCAATCAGAAGCCAGTGGAGGGATTGGCAGAGAGGGGAGGCGGATACGGACCGATTGGTGAGGTGGATGAATCTGGCCGCAGAATTCAGGATAGACTGAAGCGGGGATAGCCTGTGTTGGGGTAGGCCGGCGAGGAGGGAGTTGCAGTAGTCAAGTCGTGATATGATGAGGGAGCGAATGAGTTGCTTTGTGGTTTCAGGAGTTAGGAACGTGCATATTTTGGAGATGTTGCGGAGGTGGAGTCTGCATGAATTTGAATACTGAAGAGACTTATAGAGGCTATACGGCAAGAACAGAGGGAAGTTTGAAGACATGGGCTATCGTAAGGTGACTATAAACACTCCTCTCCTTCATGAGGCTGGCGTTGGGAATTGATATATTGACCAGGGTTGCTTTCAAGGCACTGTTTATTAACATTCAACAAGAGCGTCTTTATTTCTTCACTGTGAAGACCACAGGTCAAGAAGACTGTCAAGAAGGTGTAGGTGGGAGGTACTGGAACTAAACTTGGTTTCATTTCTCAGTATAAAGAGAAGTCCACAATGACCTTTTAACACAAAGCGGCCTCAAATGTCCTGATGAAGGGGCAACCAATAGTCATAGAAACATGTTGGCTTCTTGTCTTTGGACGTGTGATAAAAAATGTACTCGTGGACTCCTGCACCCTAGGTGTGATACTTTTTTTTTTTCAACCATACACCTTCCGAAGTAATATACAACAGTGCATTCTTAAAACAAATTCATGTGACCAGGACCTTACAGTACTCCATGTAGTATTTGGAAGTGGGGACGCTAGTCTATAGAGGAAAACGTCTTTTAAGTTGTATACCTGGTTCTTCACTTTTGTGACACAGCGTTTAGTTCTCCAGTCAATCGAATTTGGAACTTTAACATCCCATTCATCTACTCCACTTGTGGAATTCAACTCTGTGATGTCAGGAGCCATAACGCCCATCATTGTAGCCACCACTTCCTCTGATGTCTGAAAAGAAAGAATAAAAACAAGATCTTTGCACTGCCCACCAATGCAAGGAGGCGCTGCTTCGCTGACCACCAATGCAAGGAGGCGCCTCTTCGCTGCCCACCGGTGCAAGGAGGCGCCTCTTCGCTGCCCACCGGTGCAAGGAGGCGCCTCTTCGCTGCCCACCGGTGCAAGGAGGAGCCTCTTCGCTGCCCACCGGTGCAAGGAGGCGCCTCTTCGCTGCCCACCGGTGCAAGGAGGAGCCTCTTTGCTGCCCACCAATGCAAGGAGGCGCCTCTTCGCTGCCCACCAATGCAAGGAGGAGCCTCTTCGCTGCCCACCAATGCAAGGAGGAGCCTCTTCACTGCCCACCTATGCAAGGAAGCACCTCTTCACGGTCCACCTATGCAAGGAGGCACCTCTTCACTGTCCACCTATGCAAGGAGGCACCTCTTCACTGTCCACCTATGCAAGGAGGCACCTCTTCACTGAACACCTATGCAAGGAGGCACCTCTTCACTGAACACCAAGGTAAGGAGGCGCAGCTCTTTACTGACCACCAAGGCAAGGAGGCACCTTTTCCACTAAACACCAAGGCAAGGAGGCGCCTTTTCACTGACCAGCACCCCTTACTGAATACTAATGTCAACAGGCAATTTTAGAAGGGCCACCAATAAATAAAGACACTTTTCACTTTCCATCAGTGTAAGAGAGCACCATGCCGAGCTTCAGGGTAAGGTGGCCCTTCAATACTGACCACTCATGACTACAATTTTCACTGTCTTGGTTTATTTTGAGATCCTTATTATGTTTAATTTATTACTGAAGATATTTTTGTCATATACTGGAAGCAGATACAAAGTGTTCTCTAGTGTTCTCTCCTGATGGTATGGTATGATGGATAAGTATCTGCCTATGTGTCTCAGCATTGAGGACACCATTGATCAGGCACCATTGAGGACCGTAAACGCAGTGGTTGGCCAAGGAATCTTAATGCAGCAGATAGACACATCATGCTTACTTCCCTTCGAAATTGCAAGCAGTCCAGCAGTGCCAACAGCACACAACTGGTGGAAACCAGTAGGACATGGGTACATTAATCTACTGTGTGGAGAAGTCTGGCTAGAAGTGGTCTTCATGGAAGAATTGCAGCCAAAAAGCCATACCAACGACTTGGAAACAAGGCTAAGCAATGCACTATGAACTGAATTAATGATGAAAACATAGGAACTGGGCTGCAGAAAAATGACAGCAGGTGATCTGGACTGATGAGTCAAAATTTGAAATGTTTGGCTGTAGCCGGAGGCAGTTTGTTCACCAAAGGGCTGGAGAACGGTACAATGAGGAGTGTCTGCAGGCAACAGTGAAGCATGGTGGAGGTTCCTTGCAAGTTTAGGGCTGCATTTCTGCAAGTGGAGTTGGAAATTTGGTCAGGATCAATGGGGTCCTCAATGCTGAAATATACAAGCAGATACTTATCCATCATGCCATACCATCGGTGAGGGATGCGACTGTCCCCAAATTTATTCTGCATCAGGACAACAACAACCCCAAGCATACAGCCAATATCATTCAGCAGTATCTTCAGTGTAAAGAAAACCAAGGAGTCCTGGAAGTAATTGTTTGGCTCCCACAGAGCCCTGATCTCAACATCGAGTCTGTCTGGGATCACTAAAAGACAGAATGATTTGAAGCAGCCTACATCCACCGAAGATCTGTGGTTAGTTCTCCAAGATGTTTGGAACAACCTACCTGCCGAGCTCCTTCAAAAACTTTGTGCAAGTCTACCTAGAAGAATTGATGCTGTTTTGAAGATAAAAAACAAATATTGATTTGATTTGGATTTTTTTTTTTTATTTTTACTAGTAATAGCCGATAGTGTCCTGATCAGAATCAGGGGGTCCCCAGTGCTGCTACGGTGTTTCTGTACTTGCTGAAAATGTTCATAGCCTGAAAAATGAAAACAAATGCAGGCACCAAATCTAAGGACTCGTCATCTGCAATATATTCCATTTTTGTTGTTGGGTTTAGTTATCCTTTATTGAGATTCTCCTTTTCTAAATAGCTCCCCTTTAGTGAAGTGTGTTAACCGCTTCCCCGCTCCCTATAGCAGAACTACTGCTGCAGGGCTGCGCAAAACCACGTGTGTGTGTGTATATATGTATGTGATTTTGCATTTTCGTGTAGGGGCGCGTGCGCTGCCCTACCTGCGCTGCCATTGTGGCTTTAGATGTCGATCACCGGGTCCCGGGCAGAGATTCCCCACTGGCACCCAGCAATCGCCGAAAAACAGTGACGGGAGAGACCTGTGTGTAAACAACACAGATCTCTCCACTGCCAGCTGTAACATGCTATTGTGTATTTCTCTGCACACCAGCATGTCTCCCTAGTAAAAAACAGTTAATCCGTTGATCGCCCCAGATGTTAACCCCTTCCTGCCCAGTGGCATTCTGACACTGGGGGGAACTGACTTGGTGTCACTGACATCCCCAGTGACACCCATACAGTGATCAGTGCTAATAAAAAGCACTGACATTGTACTAATGACACTGGGCAGGAAGGGGTTAACATCTGGGGTGATCAAAGGGTTAACTGTGTGCTGTTTTACTATGGGGCTGTGTGTTTCACTGGAAGCACACTGCTTTAAATGGCTCTGCTATGCAGAGCCATACAAAGCAGTGTGCAGGAGCTGACAGGGGAGAGATCTGTATTGTTCACATACAATTCTCTAGCTCCGTCGGTAATGCTCCTCGATCAACAAGTGTCGGCGAGTAATTTCCAGCCAGGAACCCGTGATTGACACCAGAGGCAGCGAATAGGGCGTGCACCCCCTACATGGAAATGCAATATATATACAGTCATGGCCGAAATTGTTGGCACCCTTGATATTTTTCCTGAAAATCAAGTATTTCACACAAAAAAGGTATTGCATTAACACATGTTTTGCTATACACATGTTTATTCCCTTTGTATGTATTGGAACAAATATAAAACAGAGGCAGAAAAGCAAAATATGACATAATGTCACACAAAACCCCAAAAATGGGCTGGACAAAAGTATTGGCACCCTTAACTTAATATTTGGTTGCACACCCTTTGGAAAACATAACTGAAATCAGTCGCTTCCTATAACCATCAATAAGCTTCTGACACCTCTCACCCGGAATTTTGGACCACTCTTCCTTTGCAAACAGCTCCAGGTCTCTTATTGGAAGGACACCTTTTCCCAACAGCAATTTTAAGATCTCTCCACAGGTGTTCAATGGGATTTAGATCTGGGCTCATTGCTGGCCACTTCAGAACTCTCCAGCGCTTCTTTGCCATCCATTTCTGAGTGCTTTTTGACGTATGTTTGGGGTCATTGTCCTGCTGGAAGACCCAGGATCTTGGACGCAAACCCAGCTTTCTGACACTGGGCCCTACAGTGCGACCCAAAATCCTTTGGTAATCCTCAGATTTCATGATGCCTTGCACACAGTCAAGGCACCCAGTGCCAGAGGCAGCAAAACAACCCCAAAACATCATTGAACCTCCACCATATTTTACCGTAGGTACTGTGTTTTGTTCTTTGTAGGCCTCATTCCGTTTTCGGTAAACAGTAGAATGATGTGCTTTACCGAAAAGCTCTATCTTGGTCTCATCTGTCCACAAGACGTTTTCCCAGAAGGCTTTTGGCTTACTCAAGTACATTTTGGCAAACTGTAGTCTTGCTTTTTTATGTCTCTGTGTCAGCAGTGGGGTCCTCCTGGGTCTCCTGCCATAGCGTTTCATTTCATTTAAATGTCGACGGATAGTTCGCGCTGACACTGATGCTCCCTGAGCCTGCAGGACAGCTTGAATGTCTTTGGAACATGTTTGGGGCTGCTTATCCACCATCCGGACTATTCTGCGTTGCAATCTTTCATCAATTTTCCTCATCCGTCCACGACCAGGGAGATTAGCTACAGTGCCATGGGTTGCAAACTTCTTGATAATGTTGCGCACTGTGGACAAAGGCAAATCTAGTTCTCTGGAGATGGACTTGTAACCTTGAGATTGTTGATATTTTGCCACAATTTTGGTTCTCAGGTCCTCAGACAGTTCTCGTCTCCTCTTTCTGTTGTCCATGCTTAGTGTGGCACAGACAGACACACAATGCAAAGGTTAAGTGAACGTCTCTCCTTTTTATCTGCTTTCAGGTGTGATTTCTATATTGCCCACACCTGTTACTTGCCCCAGGTGAGTTTACAGGAGCATCACATGCTTGTAACATTCTTATTTATCCGCAGTTGTGAAAGGGTGCCAATACTTTTGTCCAGCCCATTTTTGGAGGTTTGTGTGACATTATGTCGAATTTGCTTTCTTTCCTCCCTTTTTTTGTTTTGTCCCAATACACACAAAGGGAATAAACATGTGTATAGCAAAACATGTGTTAATGCAATACGTTTCGTGAGAAATACATGATTTCCTGGAGAAATATCAAGGGTGCCAACAATTTCGGCCATGACTGTATATATATACACACACACACACGATTTTGCACACCTGTGCTGCCCTGTAGCAGTATTGCCACTATAGGGCGGACGGGAAGCAGTTAAGAAATGTTGATATTTGCATAACTCCTTCCAATGCTTACATAAGGACTTGAGAGGAGTGCTAAAGCAGAGTGCCGTGATGTTTTCAGGAAACTATGTACAGCACCCTGCTGGCCCTTCCCACCATTTATGATCTGCCTGCATTACATAGAGAAGAACAGAGACTCAGTGATGTTTTCACCAGGTGTACAATAAAATATGTAATGAAAATGGAAAAAAAGTGTTCCTTCATTTCATTTTATCTTAGTTTCAAATTACTGCACAAATTTGGAAACACATTTTTACCATATCTGCCAGATTGTTCATTCCAACTTCGTAAGTGTGGAGCCCCAGGCCGTACTCCAGATTGTGGGTGGTGACAAATTTCAGAGTGTCTTCCCAGATCATCCGTCGTTTCATCTCTTCCATCTATGATGTCAGGACATGGAGATCATAATCACAACATCCAGGATAGACATAATACAGATGTAGCGTCATATAGAAATGCCTCATGTACTAGTCACAGGTAATATTTCTGGTGCAAAGATTTTGGAGTCACCAAAATTTACATGAAGCAGATGAATGATGAAATCATTTGTACCCTTCTAAAACTAAACATCAGACTTTACAGGCGTCTTCATATGAACCAATCACATTGGTGATGAATCAAAACAAAAATTAAAAAAAGAAGGTGCTGTATGCACTTTATGTATCTTTTTAACCACTTGAGCTCCTGAGGATTTACCCCCCCCTTAATGACCAGGCCTTTTTTTTTGCTGTTTGGCGCTGCACTAATTCAAATGATAATTGCACGGTCATGCAATGCTGCACCCAAACGAAATTTACGTCCTTTTTTTCACACAAATAGAGCTTTCGTTTGATGGTATTTTATCATCTGTGCGCTTTTTATTTTTTGCGCTATAAACAAAAAAAAACATGAAAATTTTGAAAAAAAAACCCAATATTTTCTACTTTCAGCTATAAAAAATATATCGTAAACTCAAAGTTAGTCATAAAGTTAAGCCAAAATGTATTCTGCTCCATGTTTTTGGTAAAAAAAAATCCCAATAAGTGTATATTGATTGCTTTGTGTGAAAGTTATAGCGTCTACAAACTATGGTATAGATACTGTAATTATGCCATTTTTTGATATACAGCGCTGCACTAATTCAAATGATAATTGCGCGGTCATGCAATGCTGCACCCAAATGAAATTTACGTCCTTTTTTTCACACAAATAGAGCTTTCTTTTGGTGGTATTTTATCACCTGTGCGCTTTTTTTTTTTGCGCTATAAACAAAAAAAACAAAACACGAAAATTTTGAAAAAAAAACAATATTTTCTACTTTCAGCTATAAAAAATATATCGTAAACTCAAAGTTAGTCATAAATTTAAGCCAAAATGTATTCTGCTCCATGTTTTTGGTAAAAAAAATCCCGTGCATTAGCGGGCAAACTGGCGCTATATGGGAGGGGCGCTAACACTATCAGAAGTCACCAGTGACACTAATACAGTGATCAGTAAAAATCTGTTCACTGTAATCAATGACACTGGTGACAGGGCAGTGAAGGGGTTAACGGGGGGGGGGGGGGGGGGGGGGCGGCGATCAAGGTGTTAAATGGGATTACTGGTGTACTGGCGGGCTAACTGGCGCTATCTGGGAGGGGCGCTAATACTATTGGAAGTCGCCAGTGACACTGATACAGTGATCAGTAAAAATCTGTTCACTGATCAATGACACTGGTGACAGGGCAGTGAAGGGGTTAACGCGGGGGGGGGGGGGGGGCGATCAAGGGGTTAGACGGGATTACTGGTGTATTAGCGGGAAATCTGGCGCTATCTGGGAGGGGCGCTAACACTATCGGAAGTCGCCAGCGACACTGATACAGTGATCAGTAAAAATCGGTTCACTGATCAGTGACACTGGTGACAGAGCAGTGAAGGGGTTAACTGGGGAGGGGGGGGGAGAGATTAAGGGGTTAAATGGGATTACTGGTGTACTAGCGGGCAAACCAGCGGTATCTGGGAGGGGCACTAACACTATCAGAAGTCGCCAGTGACACTGATACAGTGATCAGTAAAAATCGGTTCACTGATCAGTGACACTGGTGACAGGGCAGTGAAGGGGTTAACTGGGGGGGGGGGGCAATCAAGGGGTTAAACAGGATTACTGGTGTACTGGCGGGCAATCTGGCGCTATCTGGGAGGGGCGCTAACACTATCGGAAGTCACCAGTGACACTAATACAGTGATCAGTAAAAATCTGTTCACTGTAATCAATGACACTGGTGACAAGGCAGTGAAGGGGTTAACTGGGGGGGGGAGAGATTAAGGGTTTAAATGGGATTACTGGTGTACTAGCGGGCAAACCGGCGCTATCTGGGAGGGGCGCTAACACTATCGGAAGTCGCCAGTGACACTGATACAGTGATCAGTAAAAATCGGTTCACTGATCAGTGACACTGGTGACAGGGCAGTGAAGGGGTTAACTGGGGGGGGGGGGGGCGATCAAGGGGTTAAAAACAGGATTACTGGTGTACTGGCGGGCAATCCGGCGCTATCTGGGAGGGTCGCTAATACTATCGGAAGTCGCCAGTGACACTAATACAGTGATCAGTAAAAATCGGTTCACTGATCAGTGACACTGGTGACAGGGCAGTGAAGGGGTTAACGGGGGGGGGGGGGGGGGCGATCAGGGGGTTAAATGTGTCCTAGGTGTGTTCTAACTGTGGGTATGTGCTGTTTTACTCACTGTTTGGATGTCTTCTTCTCTGTCTGGAACGGAATGTGTCCAGGCAGAGAAGAAGGACATCATATCCTGTCCTGTGTAAATGTCAACACAGGACAGGATAGGACAGGGACCGATCATCTGATTTCAGCCAGACATCACTGGCTGAAATCGAATGATTGATCCCTCCGGGATCAAATGGTGTCACCCGCGGGTCGGCGGGAGCGCGCGTGCCCCCTGCCGGCGAAAATGTCGGGAGCGCGGAGCCCGTTTTAAAAACGTGGTTTTGCGCCTCAGTGCCGCCCTGCACACGTATATATGCAGTGGCAGGGCGGCAAGTGGTTACAGTGTATCTAAACCCTCCAAAAATACTGTAATATATTGCAGCTTAACACACCTTACATGTGGTGACCGCATTAGTATTTATTCTTTCAGACTTCTTTTCTAGTTTATTTTCACCAAGTGATCCTGCCAGTAACATATTTCTTATCCTAAGGCAGTGGTCTCCAAACTGCGGCCCAGATGCGGCCCCTTGCTTGCCTTTAGCCGGCCCTTGGGGCACTATTCCTCCCACTGACACCAATGATGGGGCACTATTCCTCCCACTGACTCCATCGAGCAGCTGGGTTGAGGGCCTAGAGGACATTGCTGCTGCCCTTTCATACCACAATGCTTGTTCTACTAATTTACAGAAAGACTGGATTACTAAGTATGGAAAACATATTGGATTCTTTGGGCACTGTAAGAGACCACACAGTAAAATACATACAACCATTTATTGACATAAAAGAGTCATATAGTCTTTATAGGACCCATAGTTTTTTTTTTTTCTTCTGTATTAATAGGATTTGGCACCAAGAAGCTTTTTTGGTTATTTTTCATACTAATTTACAGAGTAATCATAAAATCTTATAAACAAGGACAAGATGGTTTCATGCCAAAAATGGTACAGGAACTAAATATCAACACCATACAGAGACATGCACAACTCTGCCCAAGTTACATCACCAACCTTGCCTCATAATATCACCCAAGCCAACCTATTTACTCTTCCCAAGAGCTGATGCTTTCTAGCTCCTTCCTCACCTCCTCCTATACTTGTCTCCAGGACTTCTCCAGAGCCTCTTCCATTTTCTGGAACCCCCTACCTCAATCAATCCAGCTATCTCCTACTTGGTCTGCCTTTCGATGATCCCTGAATACTCATTAGGGAAACCTGAAGAGATGAGTCTTACTTTGGGTACAAGGACATATTCCAACATAAAACATCTGACGGGGAAACGCAAAACTCATGGGTTAGTAACATTTTGACTGCTGAAGCCAGATTGAAAAGTAGATGTGTTTATTATACAAGGATGTAGCTAGACCTTCATGCAGGGAGAGCAGAACAATACATAGTGTTGGATTCAAAGTAATGCTCTAACTGTCTTGGAAACCATGACCAAATAAAGGTCCTCATCAACCCCAAATAAAGGTCCTCATCAACCCAAAATAAAGGTCCTCATCAACCCCAAATAAAGGTCCTCATCAGGATTTTTACGTTACCTCATTCATGTAGACTTTCTCGTGTTTCGTAGTCCATAGCATCCAGTGGTCATCCAAGGTAGAATCAGGACCACCGTGAACAGACATTATAATGATGAGCAAGCACGCAAGTCTGGTTACAGGGGGGCCCATTATCTTACAATGCTGGGTCTGGAAAAAATAATATTGATTTAAATTTAGGGGATTTTACAAGTTTATACCAACTGTTCTGTCTAGAGCAATACTCCAGGGAAACCTCCCTTCAGGAGCTTACAAACAATTTACTAACTGTTAAAGCCAATAGCCACAACTCCAGTTGACCACCAGCCTTTTCAGCCCCACATCCAGTCATTCTCCAGATCTTGCTAACTTCATCTTTGTAACATTTCAAAAATACGCTCTTCCTAATCAATGAAACAACCAGGCTACTAATTCACTTCTTTTTCTCTCATCTCTATTTCAACTCCCACCTCGTTGGCCTAATGCAGGCCATAGATGGGTCGAAAATCGGCCGATTTTTCGGCCGAAAATAAAATCGGCTGATTTTCGGATCGTTAGTGGGCCAAATGTTCGGCCGTTTTTTCGGTATTTTGGCAGATTTTTTTTATCGGTAAAGTTGGAAAAAAATCGTCCGATTTTGCCGATCGGCCGATTTTCGCGGCAATGATGGGCAAATCGGCCAATCTTTTACCGATAAAAAAATCTGCGCATGAGCAGTGACCTGGAAGAGGAAGACAAAAAGAAGAAGAGGATGAAGAAGAAGAGGATGAAGAGGATGAAGGAGAAGGGGAAGAGAAGAAGAGGATGAAGGAGAAGAAGAGGATGAAGAAGAAGAAGAAGAGGAGGATGAAGAGGATGAAGAAGAAGAGGAAGATGAAGAAGAGGAAGAGGACGAAGAAGAGGACGAGGAAGAAGAAGAAGAAGAGGATGAAGAAGAAGAAGAGGATGAAGATGAAGAAGAGGATGAAGAAGAAGAGGATGAAAAAGAAGAGGAGGAAGAAGAGGAAGAAGAGGATGAAGAAGAGGATGAAAAAGAAGCAGAAGAGGAAAAAGAAGAAGCAGAAGAGGATGAAGAAGAAGAGGATGAGAGAAGAAGAGGATGAAGAAGAAGAGGATGAAGAAGAAGAGGATGAAGAAGAAGAGGAAGAAGAGGATGAAGAAGAAGAGGATGAAGAAGAGGATGAAGAAGAAGAGGAAAATGAAGAAGAGGAAGATGAAGAAGAAGGAGAAGAGGATGAAGAAGAGAAGAAGAAGAAGAGGAAGAAGAAGAAGAGGATGAAGAAGAAGAGGATGAAGAAGAAGAGGATGAAGAAGAAGAGGAATTCCAGTCCGGCAAAAAATGTCCCTGGAGAGAGCTTCGCTATTTCTTTGACAGTTCCTTGACATTTATAGCGGTTGCAACAATGTATCTATTTGTTTCAGAATAAAAACATCTGTATCCAAAATGGATACAAATAGATACAATGTTGCAACCGCTATAAATGTCAAGGAACTGTCAAAGAAATAGCGGAGCTCTCTGCAGGGACACTTTTTGCCAGCTGTAGACGGGATGAAAATCGGCCGATTTTTTTTACCGTTGCTGGTAACGTCGGCCGCTTGAACGGCCGATTTTTCGTTTTTTAAAAGAAAAAATCGGCCGATTTTCGACCCATCTATGGCCTGCATAACTCTACACAAGCTACCCCCTCTTTAGTCTATTATAAACGCCATCGCCAGACCCATCCATCTTACCAACCCCTCGGTGTCTACCGCCCCTCTCTGTCAATCCCTCCGCTGGCTTCCTCTTTCCCACTGAATAAAATTCAAACTATTAACACCATACAGAGACGTCCACAACTCTGTCCAAGCTATATCACCAACCTTGCCTCATAATATCACCCAAGCCAACCTCTTCACTCTTCCCAAGAGCTGATGCTTTCTAGCTCCCTCCTCACCTCCTTCTATACTTGTCTCCAGGACTTCTCCAGAGCCTCTTTCATTTTCTGGAACCCCCTACCTCAATCAATCCAGCTATCTCCTACTTGGTCTGCCTTTCGATGATCCCTGAATACTCATCAGGGATCATCAAAAGGCAGACCAAGTAGGAGTATATCCCTGAATACTCATCAGGGATCATCGAAAGGCAGACCAAGTAGGAGTATATCCCTGAATACTCATCAGGGAAACCTGAAGGAGATGAGTCTTACTTTGGGTACAAAAGCATATTCCAACATAAAACATCTGATGAGGAAACCCAAAACTTATGGGTTTCAGTAATGTTTTGACTGCTGAAGCCAGATTGCAAAGTAGATGTGTTTATTATACAAGCATGTAGCTAGACCTTCATGCAGGGAGAGCAGAACATTACATAGTGTTGGATTCAAAGTAATGCTCTAATGGTCTTGGATGGGTGGGAGCCTAGCTATCTGATTGCTTTGAAGTTGCATTCTGGTTTCTGGTGGAGTTCACTGAAATGTAAATGGACTTTCACACAAGTATGTTACTTCCCATAGCTCCTTTAGATAGCAATCTTCCCAGCTGGAGGTGTACATAGCATTCTAACACAAGAAATACGGCTGTTACACGATAAGACTTCTAATAACAGAATATACATTCAATATAGCCACTAAAAAAAATCCTAAATGTTTGACATATAAAAACATCATAGAATAAAATATAATAATATTTGTCCCAGTAAGACCGTAGTATACATAGTATGTTTAGTTGTACCGGCTTGAAAAACAGAGTGTCTCTGGACCAGGGACGGACTGACCATTCGGGCAGTCGGGCACTGCCCGAGGGCCTGGGTCAGTAGGGGGCCCCATGAGATGCCCCTGGTACCTTTTTATATGCTTTTTTGGGTGTGGTTTGAGTGTGGGCGAGGACACAGGGGCCCCATGATCCCCTACTGCCCGGGGCCCCATGAGTTGCCAGTCCGCCCCTGCTCTGGACACCATAAAGGCTCCATGCACATTGGCTCAAAAACCGCTTGATGAAAAATGCTAATAATAGTGTTTTTGTGTCGGCTTGTAGTAGCGTTTAGAAGGAGCGGTTAGGAGCATTCAGCATTCTCTTCTGCCAGGAAAACGCTCCAAAAAACTCTGCAAAAATATTTTTTTTCTGCTCCTAAACGGTGAAGCTTGAAAAAACGCTACTAGTATAAAATACTGTGCATAGATGCATAGGAGAACACTTAGCTTCTAGGAGCAGAAAAAAATGCTCATAATAGCTTCTAGAAGCAGAAAAAAATGCTCATAATAGCTTCTAGGAGCAGAAAAAAATGCTCATAATAGCTTCTAGGAGCAGAAAAAAATGCTCATAATAGCTTCTAGGAGCAGAAAAAAAAATGCTCATAATAGCTTCTAGGAGCAGAAAAAAAAATGCTCATAAGAGCTTCTAAGAGCAGAAAAAAAATGCTCATAATAGCTTCTAGGAGCAGAAAAAAATGCTCATAATAGCTTTTAGGAGTAGGAAAAAAAGCTCAGAATAGCTTCCAGGAGCAGAAAAAAATGCTCATAATAGCTTCTAGGAGCAGAAAAAAATGCTCATAATAGCTTCTAGGAGCAGAAAAAAATGCTCATAAGAGCTTCTAAGAGCAGAAAAAAAAAGGTTAATAGCTTCTAGGAGCAGAAAAAAATGCTCATAATAGCTTCCAGGAGCAGAAAAAAATGCTCATAATGGCTTCCAGGAGCAGAAAAAAATGCTCATAATAGCTTCCAGGAGCAGAAAAAAAATGCTCATAATAGCTTCTAGGAGCAGAAAAAAAAAATGCTCATAATAGCTTCTAGAAGCAGAAAAAATGCTCATAAGAGCTTCTAGGAGCAGAAAAAAAAATGCTCATAAGAGCTTCTAAGAGCAGAAAAAAAATGCTCATAATAGCTTCTAGGAGCAGAAAAAAATGCTCATAATAGCTTCCAGGAGCAGAAAAAAATGCTCATAATAGCTTCCAGGAGCAGAAAAAAAATGCTCATAGTAGCTTCTAGAAGCAGAAAAAAATGCTCATAATAGCTTCTAGGAGCAGAATAAAATGCTCATAATAGCTTCTAGGAGCAGAAAAAAATGCTCATAATAGCTTCTAGGAGCAGAAAAAAAAAATGCTCATAATAGCTTCTAGGAGCAGAAAAAAATGCTCATAATAGCTTTTAGGAGCAGAAAAAAAAATGCTCATAATAGCTTTTAGGAGCAGAAAAAAAATGCTCATAATAGCTTCTAGGAGCAGAAAAAAATGCTCATAATAGCTTCTGGAAGCTTAAAAAAACATTGGTCTGCATGGAGCCTAAAAATGCTGACAGTTATGGTTGCTACTCACCAAGACAGGTTTATTCACAGCTGCTGCTGGTGTAGGAATAGTAAAATTGGAGAACTACTCCCTGCTTTATATATTCCTCAGAATCACTGTTCATTTAGCAATTTCCAATAAGCCACCAGACTGTGGTACATGAATTGGTTAATGATAGGCGTTGCCTTAACTCCCCTTACTCTGGAGGATATCAGTGGTACCAGTCACCCAACCAAAAGCCAAGATAACCATCAGTGTGAGTTAAAGTAAAGTTGCAAATTCCCACTAGAAGAATACAGTATAATTCTGCATCCAGAAAATCTTTGAATAATCTGTTATATACAATACAGGCGTACCTCAGTTTACAAATTTAATGCGTTCTCATAAACTGAAACGCGGTTTCCCATAGGAATGCATTGAAAACCAATTAATCCGCTCCAGAGGTCAGAAAAAAGTTTAAAAAGTCTTTTATCTGTTCAAAACTCTTTATAAAGTGCACTTTAAAGGCATAAATACTGTACAGGGACATGATTAATCAAGCAATAACTCGATGCAAGAAACCACTCTAACACCTCCGGCACTTCCACGCTCGACGCCACGTGCTACCACAGACTCCATCATGCACAGATGCGGCGCTATAAACCTCCCAGGCACAATGCATCTTGGGGAAACTTACTTTGTATTGTGAAAAAAATTTGTACAAAATTTGTAAACCGAGGCATTATTTTCTTTTACAATGAATTTTATTATAGACAGCACAACAAAGAAGCAGTCAGAGACAAGCTCATTGACGCAAAAAAATAATGTGTACAATTCTGTTGATAAAGGACATAACAAATGCACTGAAGTATTAACACGGAGAGAAACGGAGTACAAAAAACACAATCTATAAAAGGATGGAATGAAACCCTAT